AAAAACGGTCGTACTTTCTGAACGATCCCGTGCGCCTGCTGGCCATGGTACGAACCGCTGTGACAAACGGTCCCTGTCATGTCGTATACTCTCTACGTGTTGTCGAAAGAAAATGAAAAGTGGATAAAAGGGATGGGCAAGGAGGGGCGCGAGGTTGGATAACTCCACTCCAACGCGGTTTGGCCGGTATGGCCTGGCAACGGCCTGTCAGGGGCCAGCTGGCACGACACCGATCGGCCGATCGTATGGTGGCTGTTGCCCGACCTGGACTCTCGGACACAGCGCTCTTCCCCTCGCCCCCTCGCTCCCCCGCACGCGGGGTTGCGTCGTCGTACGTGAGCCTCGTGAGAGGGGAGGGGAGGGAGGGCAGGAGGTCACCTGACCTGGTGGCGGGCCCCAGCTCGGGCAGGACCGGGCAGGACACCAGGAGGAGCGCCGCCGCCCGCCGCCGCCCGGGCGCTAGGCCGCCCATCCGACACGTTTTCATCATGACCCCCTTCTCTTTCCCCCCTTTCCCTCGCAGCATGGTGCGCGTCCAGAAGAAGATCCACTCGGGCAGCGAGCTGCTGGCCTTCTTCACCATGCGCGAGTGGATCATCGACAACGACGCGGCCTGGTCGCTGTGGAAGATGCTCAACCCCCGCGACCAGGAGACCTTCTTCTGCAACAACATCCTGCCGGTGGACAAGGACGCCTACCTGGACAGCGTCGTGTTCGGCGCCCGCACCTACTGCATGAAGGAGCCGGTCTCCTCGCTCAAGGCGTGCCGCCGCCGCATCACAGTGTAAGTCCGGGGGCGACGCGATGACTATTCCAAACGCCGCTTCGGCCATGTTCACACCGAACGCGACTAAATGATGGTGGGAGGGGTGGAAGAATCTAAAGACAAACTGTAGAAAAAAAAAACCTCTAGTAATTTCGTCATTGCAGTTAAACTGTAGTTAATCTGCAGTTTATGAGCAGTTGTTACCGTTTTATGACTATAGAAATCTACAATGAAACTGTGGTTTAACTACAGTTTTCGGCTTTAGTATTGAGTACGGATCTCTACATCCGGGGCCGCCTGTCCTCATCGTATCCATGCTGTGTGTTCGCAGGCAATACTTTTTGCACCGCATCTGCGTGGCGCTGTTCTACATGTACGCCGTGTACCTGGCACTCCAGGTCTTCGGCTACTTCGCCGGGGACGTGTCCAGTTACCTGCCGCTGGCAATGTCGCCGCCCCTGACCTCCCGCACCGGCCAGGGCGTGTGAGAGAGCACGCTGTTCCGAAGTCTGTCGTCGTCTTCTTCTGCCACACACTTTCCGCGGGCGTTTATGATCTTTAGACTGTAACGAGATCTGTAAAGCAGCTTTCAAGTCATTGAAAAATTGCCATACACTTTATTAAAAGCAGCAACAAAGGTCTGTATGCTCGTTCACTGCTGCACTGGACCCGAGGACCAGGTTCGGTATGCGTCGAATCCAATGATATATTGCTCAATATATGAAAACCTGCCTGCCTTCGCCATTCCTGTCCTTTAACGTGGAGACTGATTTTAGTCATTCGGGTAAGGTGTTGATGTCTCTCTTTGTATCGCTCGTCTGTATTTTGTTGGTGTTTGGGGTGCTGACGCTGACCCCTGTCTCATCCCTCCAGCCTCCCGGGTCCGAATGGCCAATATACGTCATCATTTTATTAATTAGGCATAATAAGATACTAGTATTGCGTTTCATAGACGTATGAAAGTCATGGGAGCACGAGGTTGTGGTTCGGTCCAAAAGTACTTGGACGTGTAAATGTAATTCGCGTGTCAGTGGGCACATTTGTATTTATTCGTGAATGTCATGTTGTTTCATTGGTTGTTTGCTGTTTGCTATCGGTCAAGAACAGAAACGTCCACGTCCAAGTCGTAAAATTGTAGATTAAACCAAATTAAATCTGTTAGCTTGTAAGATTGACACTCCTTGTATATTGTAAACATTATTGTATATAGTGTGTATACCAGTATTCATTCTCGCTGTAACCACAAAAAAAGCATAAAAAGCAAAATCAACATGTAAAAAAATAAAAAACAGAAACTTCTTTTACCTTTTTTTACGTCTTAAACATCACAGAAAAACACCTTCTGCGGTAGTCGCGGGAGTTTGACAAATGAAGCGACAAAGTGTCTACGGGAAGTGGGGATAAGCAACCGACCAAGCAGGGGATGGCGAGCTCGGCGGCGCTGTGATTAGCGTGGCGCAAAGAAGCCGAGCGGAGGGACGGGGAAAAATTAGCCGAACGGCAAAGTCATATTTCAGCGAGTTCCGCCCGCGCTCCGCAACTTTGTGTAATGCCAACTGGTGCCGACGCGGCGGTTGGGGGAGGGAGGGGGTGTCTCCTCTCTCTACCCCGCCCCTCCGCTCCGGTGTACCCGCGGGGCGGGACTCTACACCCCCCTCCCCCTCCCCCGCCCCGAACGAAAAAGAATGATTTCCTGAGGATAAAATATCGTCTGATGAGTCCGCCGCTGGCCGGTAGCCGCCCCCCTCACCCTCCCCCAATACAAACAAGGATTATAATCTCGTGCCCTGTTCCCTTCGGTACTCTCGTGTGCGTTGCGTTAGACAATAGTCTCCGTCTCCCCGTCCCCAGGAGAGCCCCTCCCCCCCAACCCCCTTCCCTTTTCACTACTAGGGGGACGGCTTCCGATTGGCAAGGGAGCAGCGCGCGGGGGGCCGCGGGGG